TAGTTACTCGTACGACTCATGCAGCCGGATCGTCTATTTAATGCTGTCCTTAAGCCTTCGTATACTGGTTGATATGCAAAAGTATGTATACTGGATTCTAGTGTACGGTCATTCCATCATTTTTAAATGTGGAAAAGGAGAACAGCAAGTCATCCCACGTCCCAGTAAGCTGGGCAAGTATCAGAAAATAAACACCTGTAAATTGCATGCCTATTAGTTGCTCTATTAGTTGCTCTACCTTGAGGGGTTTTGAAATGAATGTCACGAACACAGTGGTAGTTGTGTAACAAGAAAAACGTGCGTGCGAAATGCGTTGCTGTCTATCCCAAACAGGAGTTTAGAGCGTTTTTTTTCGTTTCAAATATGTTCACAAACTTATTTTTCGGAATCGGTTTGGTCTCGATGGTGTTGTAACACTCATCCTTCCTTGTTTCTGTGGAGGACTTCAAATGTGCACAATTCAATTATGCTTGTATCTTGTTTGTATCCCCATATTTTAAACGTGTGTCCAAACGAAATAGCAGTTCATGGGATTTATTGAAAATCTCACCAAATTCAATTAGCGGTTAGTGCCCAATAACAAGGTCCTGCGCAACCTAGGGGATCCGCATTATCCCATAACTGCTGATCCATGCTCCCTCTCTACTGGGGATGTCTAATATCCTCATTGGTCAGGAGAATGTGGGCAAACTAGAGAACGGCTGCACACACAAATGTGTGCTGGTGTTCCACGTGACATTTCAGGAGAAAATATGGTACGCCATATTTCGTAGACGATGCACTCCTGAGACACAGGTCTACCGGTATGTGATTAAAATCCACTGTGCTTTCGCAAAATTCTGAATAACCAAAGGTAAACCAATTCGTGGGCTTATTAAGTAGTATAAAAACGTGCAAAACGAATGCTGCTGGTTTCATTAATATTTTCCTTTGCGGAACTAAGATCGGATGTCATAAAGTCTTATTTTCTCATGTAACATAACGTTTGTACATAATCGCCTTGCGTTTCAACCCCTGCATTGCCCGCATTCGGTGACGTCATCATTTCGATAGGTCTTTTGTTGGAACAAAAATTTATTGGCTGGTAAGCGCTAAGTAGCCTAGGAATATATCATCCAAGGCAGCGGAAACACAAAGTGCTTTAACCTTGAAATGTTCTTAAAAATAAGAGCACCGCATTAAAACAAACAGTCATTTTATTGTCAGTCTAAATGTGACTGTGAAATACGGGGTCCTGCATAAATTGATGGTGTAAATGCTGATTTTGAGCCATAAAATTTTGGGAGGTGATTTTTTCCTACCCACTCTGCAACAAGAAACAAGAAACTCAATTATTATTATTATTGTGTGGTGTCCTAAAATAAGTGGAGTAGTAGCACACTACTTATAGCGTGTTGATTATTTTAAGAAAAAAAATCTCATCAACTTTGGGCACTTTCACAGCGATATAAACATTTTGAAAGTGAATTGTTTTTTAACATTAAATTGGCAGTAGCTGAAAACATTGGAAGTCCCTTTGGTTTTACTCTCGCCTGAAGGTGTATTATTTCATAGACCTGTGTGTTTGAATGCTTTTTGAGTCAGTCCACAATTCGCGTTAGGTTGTCCATACATGCCAAAAAACCTCTGTTGTGTTGGATTCTTTGGATCACTGTAAAATGAACATTTAACCGTCGCAGTTGCTCATCATCAACGTGCTTTACTCAGTTTGAGTTGATGACCACCGAGTAATAGCGCCCGCGTATCTTTGTTAGCAGCTGTAGAATACTGTTTGCTTTGTAAGAGATTGTTAAATAGGTGTTTGTAAACTTAAATGAAATATACATGAAGCATGTGGTGATAGGTGCGTTAACGAAACTATATATCATTCTCATTGTTAACCTACCCCGTCCAAATGATATACATTGTCGGCTTATAAACTGAATCTTCGGCGAAACAGCAGAACCCTGGAGCATCACCGCGTGAACCTGACTTTTCAAAAGTATCGACGTGGACAACCTAAAATAGATCGTTCTATTAAGAGACAGCAATTATGGTGCGATGCCACTTGCCGTTCGGATAGATTTTTATTGTTTAGCTGTTTTCGATGACCTGAATAATAGTCAGATTTATATGCCTAATGTGTATAGCCTAATTTACCTACTTGCCATCCTATACAGAGTTCCGGATCACAGAACTAGGAAGCACCTGCAGCCAAGTAAACGCCCATGTAGGTTTATAATGGGTTCAAAGCTGTCTATAGTTAATGTTACCTAAGAACAAAGACACTGTCATTTTCAGCTGCAAAAATTATCGTCATGCAATGAAACAACTCCTTGTTAGAAACAACCTAGATCATAGCCCTATGATTGCTTGGAATCATCACCGAAGAGTGCGAAGAGCAATGTTTTATTAAGTTGAACTCCATTTTGCTTAAATGGAGAACCATGGATGGCTTATGGATCAAAAAGCAACCAATGAGGTGTGCAATAAGTCGCCTAATTCATTCATGATAGAAGCCAAAAATGTAGTGCCAACGGCTAGCTCACAGCACGATATCTGAAGCGGAAAGATGACGCTTCGCGCTTGCGCACCTGACTAAGAACGTCTGCGCCCACGGCAAAAAAGCTTCTTTTTTTAATATCATTACATTTCTCTGGATTAGTGTTAAAAAATATGTAAGCATGTAGTAAAATTCATATTGATCAACTAGCATGGTGCGATTCTAGTTGAGTACAGGCGGATATGTTAATTCTATGAAAGGTCCACGGAACTTGAGAAATACACCGATTGTTCAACGCAAACACTTGGCAGCCTCCGGATTCCAGCGGTCTATGTGCCTCACCTGCATCGAGAACGAAAATTTCAGACTGTCAGTTAGCACGCAAATGCAGTGATATCTGGTCATTTTGAACAAATTTTCAACCCTTCTAGAATGGTGTTTATTTGCATATTCGAATCGATGACTATGAAATCTCTCGCGAGTGTTACTTAGCTCGACATACGCGGTGAACTGAGTGAAACATGCCCTGGGTCTGTTTAACAGTTTAAATTGTCACATGTTGTGTTTGTGGGACGAAATTACGGCAGCACACATAGCAGTTCAGAAGCTCCGTGTTTGCTCAAATCTATGTCGGAATTGGTACCACCTAACCACCAGAAGCCATTGGTCGTTTAGATCAATGATAGTAAAACAACTTCATTACGTCGTTTATGCTATCTACACATAAAAGTCATACTCAGCTGCCTTTTCGTAAATGTCCCAATGATCTAACTGAGATTTTCATTCAAAGAAATCAAATCACTGCCAGGATTTCAGACGTGATGTGATGAACCGTACAAGAGCTTACCGGTATATTCGTTGTAAATAAAACGACGCAGCACCCTATGCTTGTATGAGATATACAAGTTTGACTTTATTAAATATTAGTTAGTGAGTGAACGCAAACTCTAATGGGGACCACCGGTTCCAGTCTCCTTGTTCCTGCTCTTGGATGAGTTATCCGCCGAATTTTCCAGTGACGCGAATAACGCGGCAATGTTGCATGTGATGTTCTGATGTGCCATTTCAGTTTACGTGCTAGCTGTCTCCTACGCAAGCATAACATCTCGAGACGATTCGTTTTGTATAGACCGGCTGCCCATTCAACATACCTTAAGCGTCAGATTGACAACTATTTGTGCGGAATTCGGTGAAGTGTGTATGGCGAGAACGCGTAAACTGTTGTCCCACAAACGTTCAGCTTCCACACACGCCGATTACATCCGCCTATCAGGTCATTTCAAGGGCACACAATTCAAACATGGTGGCGACTTGTAATGGTCAATCATGAAGTAGGTTTTAGAAATGCTGGGGAAATTTCTGACACGGCAATCTTCATAAATGCGTGTTAGCCATTTAGCTAAGACTATAAACCCTCTTTTACGAGAGGCTAGTGGAAACCGTTGCACTGTCTACAGTCGGCCAGAAAGAGCAGTATAATTTTAGGGGGACAAGCGGATTCAAGCACGTTCTGGCACGACAATCAAGTCGTTTGTTCAAATCATTTCAGTGCATAAAGTTTGGGCAGAAGCGATTTGGTCAGCTTTGCAATATTGGTGGCTAGATCATCTGGGCATGTTTTGTGAAATAGCATTTGAGTCATGTTGACCGTTCGACATAGTACGAAGAAGTCTATTTCCTCACTTCTAAATGATGCCCCTTCCCAAATGGTGGACTATATTGTCCGAGTATGTTTCACTGATGTTAGTTAGTTATTCTCCTTTGTACCGATCCCCGACCTTTGACATTTTTATGTCTTATTATCTCCCAAGATAACCTCTACAATATCCTAGTCTAAGAATAAGGGACAGATTTCTTTTCCTCTTCATTAGAAAATTCTCAAAACATTTGTATTTACTTACTTATTTACTTATTTACTTAATTAAAAATTCTTTGAAATTCGTGATCCGTTCACACGTAAAGGACAAGTATACTTAAATGTTCACATTGTTCACTAGAACAGACCCCTGAAATGTGAACAAGGATTCCTTTTCTAATTCCAGCATCTTGCTTCTCTAAAGGGTGACTTGTCGCCGACTTTGAGTGTTTTTTGTTTGTCCTAGATAAAGTTAACTCCTAATATATTACCCTCTGTGACAGAACTGAGTGTGAATTGGGTAATGGTCCAATTTGTCAGTTCAAAATTGCTACAACTATGTTAGATCACAAAAAATTCACAACCTAAACAACACAGAAGATTTTTTTCATCTTGACAATTGAACTGGCATTGAAATCTTCCACAGGTTATGCGAAAATTGCCCTTCTACTTTTCGTTAAACTGTCTGTGGTACCCAAAACATTCCATGCAAAACAGACATCAAGACTTTTCAGCTTGTGATTGGACGCTCTCGTGAACAAATAGGAAAACCCCAGATATCACACTCACAGACATATTTATATTTCACTGACAATCCGAACATAATACGTTTGCAACGCGCTTTCCGAAATGTTGTGACAAGCTTCTATTACACTCTTCATAATGAGTTCCGTGTGCGATGCTATCGTCACCATATACTCATTTGATGCACCGTATTCGGACGTTAAGCGTAAGTTGAACCAAAAAACCGTCAGTTTTTGGAGAAACACTTTGTGACGGATAGCTGAAATCCTCCTCACGTAAATACAAAATTCATCTTAAGAAATGCAAAGTGAGTGTTAAAAACCATGTGTCTCTTCTTACAGGAGAGCAGAAGCATGCGGTCCACCATGTTGCCTTTGGACTAACTGACCGAAAACGCAGCTGGCAGATAGCTTTGTATCAGTGAACGATTTCTCATTATGCAACACCACATTGATATGTTTCAACGCGCCTCACTTATGTGTGCGAAAGATGCTTGAAGACGCTGTAAGCCAGTGAACTATGTGATACATCGGCTAATTAAATTCAGTAGCGCCAGCTCCCTGTGCTCCGTTGTTTTCAATTATTGTCAAAATGATGCATACAAATCATTCAATTTTCAGCCATGTATGTCACGACCAGAGAGCCCGAATCAAATGGGTGGGATGATTTGTGCGACTGGGTGAGCTACCGAAACTACTTGTCAGGACTATTTTTCCACGATCCTGTCGGACGAAACTTACCACATGTTTTGTTAGTTATAATAATGTTTTGTGAAAATACTCTTGTCCAAACAAATTGTCAGTTGAAAAACATACAAGCAGTTTTCCAACAAAGCACACCTACTTAAGTTTGCTACTTTAAATAGTCAACAAAATTAACAATGGAATCCACCCGGCATTCGCTCGGTCGCATAACCCTTAATTCCAAGCGAATAAATAATCCATTTTGCCTATGGTACACAGGTGCCAGGTTCAAACGTGTTTCAGACAGTGCGGACAGGTGAGGCATAGATTGCCCACAAACTTAACCAGCTTCAAAATCCCGGTGTATAAAAAGGAAAACATATTTGATGTGACTTTGGCCACAGTGTCTGAAATTCCTGTAGAAAATATGGGCTTGCGCACCCTTATGGGGAGTATAGGTAAACAAATACAAAAATATTGCCAATCGGCGTCCGAGTGTAGCACTATATGAACGCCAAAAGAATTGTAAATAATGAAAATTACTGACTTGTTTTACTGTTCAATATTCCAATGAAGTAAGTAATTTCATGATTCTCATGGTGCTATTTTAGCTGCGCCACAAAAGACCATATGGCTGGCAGCTGGGTTTGATCGACCGATGTCAAGTTCCCAAACAGGACCAAGGAACTGTGACTATGAAGATTGAACTATTCTTCCATAAACTTCCGCATAACCTACATACTACACCTACTGACCTCCAGTCGTGGGCTCTCAACTGGATGTTCTGGGTCGGAAACGAACCCTGCATTACAATTGTTGGTAAGTGAGTTTTACAAGAAATTCTGAGATAAAATATTTCTCATCGCCGCAGGACAAACCCCAGTGTGCGTGTTTTCTAGAATCTTTAGTCATGAGGTAAAATTTCTTCATCTTTAGAATGCTTGGAAACTAAATGTCTACTAAAACGCGCATTATTCCCTCATTTTTATTGCAGACGTACCTGGCCGGGTGCTTTATGACAGTTTACAGCGTAAGCTCCTCTATAAACCCACTGTCGCTTGAAATCATCTAATTCAGTCCCACGCGATCAGTGCAATTTTTGTTCAGCTTTTGCATCATTAGTATTTGAAATTGTTTGCGTTAGTTCAAGAAAGAAATTTCTCCGAAAATCTTCAAACCGAAGACACTCTGTGTTAAATTTAAACATTATCAAACACGAAACATGCAAGGCACGTTTACTCAATACAGACTTTTAACCCACGATACTTCTAAATGTATGCGTCCAAGCAACATAATTTTTGATACTGAGTATCTCTCATAAACATTGCATTTCTGCACACTAAAAGCTCGCCAGAAAATACTTTTGTAGGTGTAAATATCACGATTATTTGTAAGCGATGAGCGTGTGGGAGTAATTTTATGATAACTTCATCTGCTTACTGTGACGACTGCATCTGTCTGTTGGATGTATAAAGAACTAAGCAGTCAAGCACTTCCCCACCTACTTGCTGGCAGGTTTGCACAATACAGTTTTTTGGCAGAGTTCACTGCGATTTTGAGCCAATGGTTCGCGGAGTGTTGAATTTTGAAGACTCTCTTATTTTATACCAATATTATAGACTATATAACCCGTTTAATTTTGCTCCTCTGTAGAGTTCTGGATCGTTGGACCAGAAGAGGAAAACATTTGCAGTAATGTAAATGTCCCCGTTGTTTTCTCAGTTGCGTACATATGTCACAAATTGATTCATTGTTGACCTGCAGTGCCTAAGTACACTTTCGACCGGGACATATCATATTCTATTTAATTAATCCCTTTTCAACATCTAGGTCATGGGGCTTTCATTGCCTGGAATAATTATCGAAGAGTGTAATGCTTCAATGTTCCTTCCAACGGAACTCAAGTTGAAGACCATCGGTGTACTGATGAATCAAAAAGCAACCAGATACGCCATGCATCTAGTCGTCCAGGCTGCCTTCTTTTATCTGATGTTTTCTGTGATTTTCAGAGCATAGAAGCATCGTCCGAACTCTTGGTTCTCTTTTGTGGAACTTTTGGATTTCGTTCTCATCATCGTTGCATATAAGGTAGGTTTGCGGGAAACTGTGAGAAATCAAAGTTCTTTGGGAGTAACCATTAATTGATTCAGGAAGTTGATGATCTCCATAGCTGGTTGAGTAAATATCGTGCACACTACAGCAGTGTGCATTTTCATGTATGATAGGAGTGTAAAAATATTGTCGAGTGTGACACTTGTTCAGCTATGGAAGTGCTGTGCCTTGAAGACGTTCCGTTTGCAATCTGACTCAATTATTTTTGAAGCCAAAACGCAAAAACTGTGCCAGCCGCGATGAGCGCAGCGTTCTGACTGCTAAATCCGTGTACCGCATCATCCGCTCAGTACGTATTCGTGGTTACAATTGAACTTTTAGGTTTCCGTTGCCAATCGCTTATGTTGCCCATTACGAAAACTTTCTCACTACGAAAGCATGGAGCAGTAGCTTACGATGATACAGTAGTTAAATTGCTAACGCCAGGTGGAGTCCTGATACATGTGGAATCAAGACCATGTCGCGCCAAATGGAATAATAGTTCAGTCCTCTCCATTAATAAACCTCGCATGCAGGTTGACTGCATTATATTGCCCGTAGTTCAAGTTCAGCTTACGCGGTGTATTGTTATGGTTCTTTTCTGGAAGGACAGATTCTACTTTTTACCAAAAACATTTCCCGAACGATAAACTATCCCAAGATCAAAATCTGCTTTTTGGTCAGTAATTAGGTTATGCCGGATTAGGAAATCGGCCAATCAAGCAATAGATTGGGCGAGATAATAATGGCTGAAACGCTTCAGAGTTGTAGCAACAAGTCAGAAATTCTAACTGCCAAGTGTAGAAGTTTTCTGTTTCGGGGGAAGCTGATATGATCAGATGGTCAGTCATTTCAACTTTCAATCAAGTACTACCCTCATAGTGCTAAGTGACTTGATTTTGGTGCCTTGTATTCGGGAATTATATCTTTTTTCGTCAACCCTTATACGTCCACAGTGGTTCAACTTTACTCTGCCACTGCTTCCATGAGCTGCTAAAATTGGTAGGTAGAATTTTGAATAATTCATATACATAACACTCTTTGCCAGCATTCAGATGACTGAACTAAAAGCGGGACTTCTGAAAGTTAGAAAAGTGCAACTCATGGGCTTGACACAATGGGGGACGCGACGGACTATTCACTCGTTACCCACTTGTGACAAGATCGCCAACAACACTACGCTCATGCAATACAACCGTAGGTCTGCACGAGCAGAATTGGAATCGAAAAGTAATTGTTTTCGGTCGAACCAACCGGATCATTTGATGCATTACGGGAACTGTATGGTTTTGCACTAAAAAGGAAAGACCAAACTCACAAACATACTCCACAGAACTGAGCGTTACGTGCACATACATGAAGCGTGAACTGGCAAAGTTCAATGTAATAGCCTCGTTGTTTCTTCGTTCTTCACTCACTGTAATTGTTCCAGGGATTCTTGCTACCCAATGTATGCAAAACAAAGACCTCTAATGTAAGTCACTTTGTAGCCTATTATATGCTTTCATTTCTATCTGAAATTTCGCGTTGCATAAAAATCAAACTACCGTTCACAGGTATCAACCGCATACATTTAGTGACAGATTCACTAAATGCAAAAAAGCATAATTTTCAAACAAATTTCGTCAACTTAAGCGTTGATCAAATGACGATACAACCGTCCAGAACGATTAAGAGGGACTAGCGAGTAAGACGAAAACATTGCTGCAGGCAATTCTGGGTTGATGAGGAAGATCGTCCACAACCTGAAAGCATTTTGTGGTACGTGAACGAAGGATCCTCATTGCTATACCAACATTTTCCTTCTATTAGCGTTCACTTATCACCGACTTCGGGTAGTCTTGTAGGGAGTTTTCAGTTCGTCATAGATAGATCTAACTCATAAAATTACCCGTTGTGTTACACCTGGGTGTAAATCTAGCAATAGCTCAATTTTTTGAAATTTGCTCATTTACAACTGCCGTGACAAACAACACGTGATTCACAATTTACCCAATATGGGAGAAATAAGGTATTCTGATCCTGTGCTTCTTACCGATTACTCCAAAGTTGCCCAACTGTTTGTTGACTCCATGACGTTCCACGCAGAACACGCATCAACACTTTCCAGCTTGAAACTGATGCTCTTGTCAACAAATAGGAAAGCCGCGGATGTCAGCTCATGTTTCTATCCACTGACACTCCGAACACAACTCGTGTTCAGCGCTTACTGAAACGGTCCTGCAAGCTGGTGTTACCCGCTTCATTATTAGTGCCGTGTGCGATGCAATCGTCAGCATATACCCGTTTTTTGCTTTTGTCTCTTTTGATGTTCATGGTTTATTCACATGTGTACTGTCCCTCGTGACCGTGGACACTTTGTCTTGCATTATTTCCCGATTTTACCTCCCAAACATCCTAAAAGTTAAAGAATATAGCTATTTTCAGCTCTCTATTGGCAAATTCTTATGAAATTCTTATCAGATTTGAACCTGAAGGAAAAACATACCTGAAAATCCACAGCGCTTCAATGATCAGACCGCTGGGCTGAGTATTTCGGGATTTTGAAGGAGGCATTCCTAGTTAGTTTCCAGCACGTTGCTTCAAACACAATGAAACCCTGGCTGTGTTCGAGTTTACATGGATATAGTGGGCATGTCGCCTTAAATACGTTTAATTCATGAAAAATTAACTTCTTTGAAAAAATTATTGTGACCCTTGTATAATTTACTTTCCGGTTTTGATCATTTATAACTGTTACGATGGATCCTATCAGTTCCATCCGTCAAACGGCCAAACTTTAGTGGCTGCGGTACCCTAGATGGACCAAGAAAGCTGAAAAGCGTAGATTTGACACACCGGAGCGATGAGACCATGCAGCCCGAATCAAATGGTACGACGGAGGGAATTTTTAAAGAAAACGCTGCTTCAGAATGGCTATCCAGAGCAGTTCATTGAATTTCGTAGTAAAGCCGGAACATATAAAAAATCCGAATCTTTTAGCCAGGTGCATATTTGTTTCTCCTGTTCAGGGGCAATGACGTTAAGATGGGCAAAGTAGCAGACCCAGTTTCTCGCTAAGTCATATTTATACTGCAGCCGAGCTACTTTCTTTTGCCAAAACCTGATAAGCCACATAGCAGCAGCTAGTCTATCTACCTGTTTAGTACCTCTGGGGAGAGTTTCGGCAGAACTATCGGATCGAGCCACAGAACCCGAAGTTTCTCATGTAAGCTGTCTCATCGGAAACCAAACCGAAATCCGCACCGTAGATCGACAGATATCTCTCGGATACCGGTTACAGAATGGACCAATTTGTCCACGTACAAATCCTATTATAACATGTGAATCAAAAGTTCCACTGCTGGTGGTTAATCCAAACAACCCAGAGGCGTGCTTTCGGGAAACCATGGAGCAAATGATTCGGTCTCCGCAAATCCGGATTAGATCAATCTCACAAACCAGGTAATCAGTGTCTGGCCCACATTTTTACAACGCGGTACTTTACGAAGTTTAACGGTTTACGACCTCAGTTCACGTGAGCAGAACGCGGAAAAACAGCACGTAAACTTTTCAGAAGAGCTTGGTAAACAATCGGTAGTTTTTATTTGGGCAACGATTCTCTCTATAGATGCATCACAAAACCTACAGTGCGGTTTTGGGAAGTTCTTCATTCACATCCTAGGAACAACATATCTGTCGGCGGGGAAACTGTTACCGTTATTTTGTTGAAAACTCTCAACTATAACGGAAGACAGGACCCAACTCATCCTCATGTAAAACACTGTAGTTAATATCTCCACAGATACTAAACCAATCACATTTGTCGCATGCGTAACACAAAATATTTTGAGGTACCGTCGGAAACTAGTCATTTTTAGTGCGACAACTGTTCCCATTTTCCATGCAAAACTCGACGATGTGTGAGTGTACAAATAATTCTCTACATCAAAACATTTTGTAGTGTCGTGAATTATCGCTAGATTACCACAGCGCTTTTTGGACCAGACTGTGTTTTATCTCGAGATTGACACCCTGGGCAGCCAGTGGTTCAAAGCATGTGTAATAAAGAATAAAACCTAAATTTGGCTGCCGTCCGCTACTTTGAGTACTTCTTGTCTACGCAAGACCAAGCTTGCACCTGGTTATTACTTTCCACTACAATCTGAAGTTGGCTTCAGCCGAATGAATCATCAGCAAGCGAAGAGAACGATCGAGTCTCAATGCGAGGACCTCACACTGTGTATCAGCCGCTCAGGCTCAAGTGATTTGAGGGGGCGAGGGAGGAGGAGTCGAATTTGTTGCATTTGCATAATCGTTTCACACAAGCTGTAGTATTCTCAATATCAATATCGCCCCAACAGTTGAGAAAAATCAACAGATGCTCACTGTTTTCATAAGGAAAACTAATCACAAGGTTGCTGTAAATTTATCGACAGCCCACGACCGGTTCGGCACTTCTTGGGGCTCATCCGTTTGGCGCAGTCCCGGAGTTTCCATCGAGCTGGATTTCTTTGCTTCTCTGAGATATTTGTGTGGGTGCATGATGCTTCCATTCTAATATTATAGAATCTCCTCTGTTGGATCTGTTTAAAATATATTGTCAAGATGTATAATTTTGAGAACCATGAAAGCACAAACCGAACTTTAAACTGCCATAGGCACGGATCAGACTTTACCCTTTGTTCCAGTGAGCTTCACAGGCAAATCTTATCTGCGTGTTCTCATGAAGGGTTCTGACTCCGTGCGAAACAAAATGATCATATGTATCACGGTAAATGTCGCCGACTGACGTTGTGTCGCATGGGTGATAAACATGTATCTTAGAAAACTCTAAACGGCACCTGATAATAAGATTTCAAAAGAAAATGTCTGCAATGTTTCATATATTTTTCTCTGCCCAACGTGCCACAGGATGTTCGTCTCTCACTACATCACGTGGTTAGTTATCAAAATTTCATGTTTTCTTTATCCAGTTAACAATGGAGATTTTCGCCAAAACATTGTTTGTGGCACTCTATTGTGCACGCTGACAACAGGCTCAGTAAAATTTCACTGTTGTGTCCCAGCATCGCCGAAAATTTGCTGCCTTCTACTAGAGCACTACTGAAAATTAGCTTGTTGGATGCAGACGGGGCTAATTAAACATCCCCAAAACACAGGCGCTCGCAACTCTCAAGCACAAATGGGCAAGACTTGTGTTAAATACTGGCAAACAGTTTCCAAAATAATCTTAATAAGCCTTGGGGTTTGATGGGTAGGTTAGTGACAGAAGTGTTGCAGGTCTTCAAAATCTTTCATTGCATCAAAAACAAGTGCACATCTTGTATCCTATTCACCCACGAATTGGAGCATGTTTCGCAAGGCCAAAATAATGCTGCACATCACGTTGTATTGCACTCTAGGGATCTCGTATTTAAAATGGATCAGGATTTTAGACAGCACAAACATCTGCAAACACCGACTGTAAATCCAAAGCGGTTTAAAATTTAGGTGTCTAGCTCCAAAAATGAAACTGGGAATGGGCACCTACAGTGTAAAGTCAGACGTAAGGGACTCCAGTGCCACAGGACACACAAAAATGTAGTCAGACTCTCAACTGGTAGCCGAAATTTCAAAATTAATGACAGTTAATTGGAACAAGTATCAAGGTACTTGAGTGAGTACCTTATATCTAGGTTGAAGTTCTTCCTCGGCGAGCAAAATTAATTTCAAGGAAATGAGGCTATTAAGACAGAAATTGAGATTGCACGAGATGCACAAGTTTATTTGAGGCACCGGAGTTGGAGCAATTATAAATAATAGACAGAACTGAACTCGTTTGCATGACGTGGCTTCTGGAACAGTGATTTCCAGTGAACAGTAATGGATGAAATGACCTTGGGATATTTTGAAATGTAATAACCACAAACCCATAAGAGTTGTATATGGGGATGATTATTCACTAGCAAACGCAGAGCAATTGATGTCCACCGGTCCGGATAAAATCACGGAGCCAAAATATTCAGCAATTTGATTGCGCACCACATGCGTAAAACATGTGTAGTACCGCACCGCATTAACCTGTTCAGCTTTCTATTGATATGGTATGAGAACACGTCATAAGTCCTCGAATTGTTGACCTGCAGATCAGGATTGATCAATGTGCTGGATAGATTTACGCGGAGATGAATTTTGATTTATCCAAGAACAGACAGAACAGCGGTATCGTTTTGTCTGATTAACATGTAACCCTTTGATAAGGGTTACCCTGGTAAGAGTTCTCAACAATCAGTAGAATAACAGTGATAAATCTACCAAAATTTGCAAGACTCTTCCAAATGTCTAACTTGCACTTCCGTGTGGAAAGCTGTCTTAAGCTGTTGAATTTAACGTGAATATGCGTCCGCTTATCTCACAAGAAGGATGTTTGTATTACTTCGCAGGGATTTCATAATGAAATAAACCTTGAGTGGACTTCAAAGTCCCTGAAGATTTTCCCAAACTCTCCAAGTATCAAGCAGCCTGTAAACTTTGAAGATGGTATATATATGCAGATAAGTCGTGTTTCCGCTACTTATAGAAACAACGAATCACAAACTTGAGGCCAATTTTTAACAAAGTCAGCAGCCACGTTGCATGTGGGTTAAATTTTCCTGCAGAATATCAGCAAATAGTCGGTTTTATTTGTCGAAAGTTCACGACGTTGACTGCTGGTGGAATCCACCATTCTCTACCTGTCGAGCGTAACAAAAACGCATACACAGAAGATGAAGCGGAAATCTTACTAGATGGTGGGGGTAAAATAGGCAATAATGTTTCTTGGCTTTGGTCCTGGTTACGCAGTATTTGTCTGTTTATACCGACAACCGACATCTTTTGTGCGACTTGAGGACATACATTGATTACGGTTAAAAAGAGCTTCCTATGTTGCCCACGATTGGAATTGTAATTGCTTTCATACCCTCTTCACAATTATTTTGAAGAAAGTCATTTCCGAACGCGGTCCCAAATACCTTCCTAATTTTACAAAGGCGCCGGCTATAACAATCAGTATTTTGTCAGTCTGAGTGTAGAAGACTGTTAATCAAGTGTTGCATTATCACACTTGAGTTTATGCTTGTCTTTTGGCCTCCAATTTATGGTGCGTTCGGATACTCACACACTAGCGCACGAATAAAATTTGACATACATTTAATCGAAAACCTCCAAGGTCAATGAGGGAGAACAGGTTATTCCCATCCTGAGGTCTGACATCACCATTGACAGTTCCCACAGATCAGGCAAAATCTATCCTTCCTTTTCAATAGTTCGACAATCTGTATATAATATCCAAGACATTCCATGCAAAACAGACATCAGGAATTTTCAGCTTGTGATTAGATGCTTTCGTCAACGAATAGGAAATCCATAGATATCGCACAGGTAGACATATCTCTATTTCACTGACGATCCAAACGCAGCTCGTTTCCAGCGCGCTTTCCGAAATGTTGTGGCGAGCTTCTCTTACACTCTTCATTATAAGTTCTGTGTGCGATGCTATTGTCAACATATACTCATTTGACGCACTGTATTCCAACGTTAACCGTAAGTTGAACCACAAAACCGCCAGTCTTTGAAGAAACATTTTGTGACGGCTAGCTGAAAAACTTCCCACTTAAATATATAATTCAGCTCCAAGAATGCATAGTGACTGTTTTAAACCATGTCTTCTTACAGAACAGCAGAAGCATGCGGTCGACTATGTTTCCTTTAAACTGACAGTTGGTAATATGACCGAAAACGCAGCTGGCAGATAGCTTTGTACCAGTGTACGATGTCTTATTATGAAACACTACATTGAACTGCTTTAACGCACCTCACTTATGTGTGCGAAAGATGCTTGAAGACGCTGTAAGCCAGTGAACTATGTGATACATCAGGTAATAAAATGCAATAGCGGTAGCGCCCCGTGCTCTATTGTTTTCAATTATTTTCAAAATTATACACACAAATCACTCAATTTTCAGCCGTTCTAGTCACGATGAGAGCGCCCAAATCATCTGGATGGAATGACTTGTGCGATTGGGTGAGTCGCCGAGTGTAAGTGTATTTCAAGGAGTGTGAAATGGCAAACTGGGCTTGCCCACATATTTAACCAACCACAAAGTTCAGTAGATTAACAAACGACTTATTTATCGCAACGTTGGCCACCGATCGCAATATTCCATAGAAAAATGGGCTTGCACAACCTCACCAGGATTGCACAGAAATACATATACTAATAATGTTGGCCTGCGTCCGGTCGTAGGACCACATTTACGACGAAAGAATTTTACATCACGGCCACTGCATATTCTGATGAATCGAAACTTTTCATGGTTTTTACTTAGCCATTTCAGCTGCGCCACGAAAAGCCCCTTGGCTGGCTGATGGGGCTGTTTACCCGGTGCCAACTTCACAAAGAGGACCGGGGAACTGTGACTATGAAAGTTGAACTGTTCGTCCAAAACCTTCCGCAGTTTCTACATAGAAGCCCTACCGACCTTCTGTCGTGGCTCGTAAACTGGCTTTTCTGGGTCAAAATGGAACCCTGCAATACGATTGGTGAACGAACGGCAATCAACCTTAGTAAGCTGGGTGTTTTTTAACATCTTTCAAAATCCCCAAGCTCACGTTACATCATGAACAAGAAGACTCTCCCCCAAACTTCCTGACATCTTCTTCGGGACATCGGTCTAGATTAGGTTGACGCCAAGGTTACTCTAGGACGTAAAAGCAGTGATATCTTACTGGTGCCAAATTTTAATAGCTATGCCGTATCGTAGCCATTCATTTAATTACTGTTTACAAAATTAAATAAAGGACGGTAAGAACAGGATTTAAATAGCAGGACTCACTAAAATATCGTCAGACCAAATATGCAATGATGATAATTTATGAACAAGTGAGCAAAACAATGCTACAAATGTCATTCGAAAAATGTAAGTTGCAGTTGCATAAAATTCACCAGATACTCTGTGCTACAGCTGTTTTTATAATAGTCAGTTCAACCCAGTTAATCAGTGCACCGCAATACTGACCAAGTTAGAATTATGAGAACTTCGGACTGCTTATTCGATTTTCATTCGATTGATGAAGTAGTAAACTGTCACCGTCATTAACTACGCTAAATTTTACCATAATGTTTGGCTAATTAAACCGGATTTCACTTTTTTGCACCTAGCTCCATGTTTATTTGTAATTTTGTGACACTCCTGCGTGCAGTTGGAGAGACGAATGGATTCACAATCAAATCACTGACTCCAATGTTTGTCCTCTGATGGAATATGTGTTCTCTTAGCCACAAGTCTGAAACTGAGACACGTCGCGCTGAATGCTATCCCATAGCTGTAGTGCCAATCAACTGCAAATCTCACATTCAAAATGTGGTCAGTAAAATCCTTTTAGTGAAAACAGACAGTATTTCAACTCATAGAATACATAAGGAACTGCAGACAGGCGCCATGCCTCTTTCTGAGTGGTTCAAACATAAGTAAGAACACAATTCAACATGGCAGAAAGGAATAAGGACCTTGAACCTTTTAATTGCCCATGGTGTTGTGGGTTCAAGTGCTTTATGCCTGCTAGCAGAAGGACTGTTGCACTATCTCAGAATCGGTACATCTCTTCACAGAACCAAATGTCCTGGATTTTAATGGTTCTTCTCCTACATATAAGCGAACGTACCCTTTTTTGATGATTCATCTTGTCAAAAAAAACGACTGTGGAGACGGCGATCTCGTTATGCAGAAATTGACAGACGGACCGCTTGATATTCAAAGGCTATTCATAAGGTACGTAAGTTTTCTGAGATGTTACCGTATTTGCCCCAAATAGGCTATAAATGCTTCTTGTAAATCGTGCGATTCTCCGAAAGATTACAAAAACAGAAGTACACAACAATAAGTTGAACTACTACTTGATGGAGCGGCATTCACGTGTGCATATTTGACAATTTCAACTGTTGCGTTTTCGACATTTTACTTTGCTTTCAAAGTCATTCACATAGCAGTGAAAGAATCTACAAATCTCGGCACACAAGATATCGCAAGCACCACAGTCGGGCTTGTTTCTCCAAAATCATTGTTTATGAATGAGACTTTGTGGCATGGCTTTCGTAAAATTCAACTTTGACATATTTGTTGCCTGATTAATAATTTCAGGCAACTTTTGCTGAAGAGTTCTTATACTTTTAGATATTCTGTGTTGAAATTCGGACGTATGTGACAGATTTCTTCTAAGTTGTACACAAAAATTCGTAGCTCAAACGCATTGGGATGGTGTAAACGAGAAAAAAATATAAATGCGTAGATAAGACAGCTAGGCATGAAGCCATTATGATGTTGCGACCAAGTGCATTATATGAAATTTGTCGAGAATTTCGGTCAACCGAGAGAAGCAAACTGCTGGATTCATCATGCTTGCGCACAATTAACAGGCTTTTGATTCCTGCTAGCCAAGCTGGTTAGTTGGGTTAGTTGTTGGCAATCGGAAAAACGACGGTGTGAATATGTTACGCACTGTGCTCCGCCTTCCTAAAATTGAATTACTTATTTTAAACCATATATTTCCGTTGATTCTCTTTGATGATACAGGTGATACTATTTTGTTGGACAGTTTTGTGGGTTTTTTTATTTTAGTGGTAGACTGGCCTGCACTAGCGTGCAGGTGACCTTGTTAATTAGATTTTCCAACTTTGGAGGGATGTATTTTTTAATATTTTTTATCACTTTCCAGTATCTGTTTTAATATTTTTAATTCAATGTTTTTGTCCGTCCGGTTTATACTGAAAGAGCTGTTGATCCCTAGGAGTAAATTAGTCACTCTTACTAAGCCTGGACTTAATTTTTCTAAACTAATAATTGGCTTTAAGATACTATCTTTTGCTATGATCCAACTGTGAATTCACATATGATTATTAATTTTTTTTGAATGTCGATCAGTTTGGCGGCGTTGTTTTACTGCTTCTCCTCTTTCGAAAGAAACGAGAAATGAGATATGCTCATTCTCATATGTATGCTGCTGTAGTGCATCGATGCCTTACACTTCGGCATGGAAACTGTCTTCCTGCGAAGGACACAAGTTTGCCAAGTTCTGCTTTTAGTGCTGTTCGCTAAGGTTAGTAATTGGCCATGAATTCCAATTTTCAGTGTACACTCTCTTCCCTCCGGTATAAAATTGAGTAACTATTTTGTTGTTTGCTATGCCGCGACCTTCGTATTCAATGAACATTTTTAATAGCGCACCCGTTGTTTGCGATGGCTGCCTGGGTCTGCGGGAAGTTCCAGCGCTGCGCATAGTATTGACGATGATTCTACATATTTGTGATCCTGATACTTGCACGAATGTCTTTCAAAGATAATACTAGTACCTACGTTCCGTTCAAAGGCATTCTCGCGCATCCAGGTTACACCGTTAAACTAACTGACGTAGGCTCGTTCAGGTAGTCTCAGCTGATAAAAATATCATAATTAGGACCTTTGGAGTGCCAGTAAACTCCAACATTTGTGCCTACATTCTCCTTGGTGAAGGATACGATGTAATCATAACAAGTTGTCAGTGTATCTGATCAACAACATCTCTGGATATTGACAGTACCTTCATAAACATGGTGTGAAAACTAATGTCGTAACAGGTGATTAGTACCGAGAAACTGGCTAGGCGTGAGTACTGTCCTGGTGAAAACGCGAATTATGCGTGTCCAGATATCTTATAACAGCCACTAAATGTTTTGCGGGACATCTTAATACAACGACCTGGTTCGATAAGGGGCAAATAATTCTGACATAACGTATAGATATTTGGAAAAATCGGGAGGGGGATATACCGGGGAAAACACTACAAATATTCATACGAAATTCCGACAGTAAGTATTCAAAATCAACAACGATAAACCATGGAACCTGAAGGGACATCCGCCTAGTAAGCCTAATCTTGAGTAACAATTTCCTCCCAAATCTCGCGCACCTTGTTTTCAAAAAATCGAATATCCGTCTTTTCCTTGAACGCGTCTTATTGGACTCTCCTGGATATTCACTGACTATCACGCACTTATAAACGAGTGCTGTAAAGCAGTTTCGTAATAAAATCAAACCTGTTAGATCAGGGCGGAGTTACAAGAAAGCCACATACTACTCGCATGCCGCATCAGTAGAATCAAGCGTTACACTGGTATTGTGCTTAATCATTCATGGAAATAAATCAGTGGATTATTACAGATTGCCTTAAATTGACCTAGTGCTGTGTAACTCAAGTGGCGCGCGATGTATTAGGCGCACCTAAAAGTGCTATTTTGAATGCTAAGAATACCACTGGCTGTTTTTATAGACCTGAACCAGACACTCATTGACTCCTGCAAAGAATTCCAATGAACAGAGTTTTGGTATCTAATACTAACTCAAGACAATGACCTAATACCTAGTGACTCATACGTTGTAAAGAAACCGACTATAAGTCATGAAGAATAGTTAGATTATGGAGCTCACACCATTGCCATTGAGGAGAATGCTAATGCCTCAGGTACCGCAGATGGCCGTATTTTTCTGAAAAATTGGCTACAAATATTTCAGCCTTAATCGAGGTGACATCTCCAGTAAGCTGTTAGGAAGCCTAGTGAAGCGTAACGACTATTGAATATTTTTTTTAATATCTGACCAACCGCAACTAATACCCTATTTAGGTCATTAGAATTGAATGTTTCTTGTCCCTAAAAACCACATGGACATCACCGATGCTGCTCAGTTTCTCCAGAAACATATCTGCTTCCATCCTTCACTAGGAATCCTGCACTGATTGAAGGCAGTTTCAACAGTTGCGTAATAAATCCAGGTTTTTGCACGGTCACAGTTGTTATTTAGGCTTACTAAAGACAAATAACGTAAGAGTAGAGAAGTCCATGTTTCCTTAATTCATCAAAATGTCAAAGCACAGGCTGCGCTAATTTAGGATTACCACTCTAGAAAAACTACAATCCGGGTGAAAAGTTGACCCAAATTTCATATATCAAAATTCCCACCGTAAAATTTTTGCAAGATAAAAGGCATTATTGGAGATGTTTACCTGGATTTGGCACCCGAGTTTCATGCTCACTCCCCACATTACCATGGTTTGTGCTACCGGTGTCTATCGTCCTTTGTTATACCGCACACTTTGGCATTGCATAATTTATTCAACCGCTGCTAGTTGGCCAACAAACACAGCGGAGAGACCTCCAGGATACATATTTGGAATAGGCGCTAAGATAAATGAACATTCCGGTAGGGTTAATTTGGCCTAGATAATCTCCTCGTATCCTATATTTCGTACCTAATTGCCGTAATAGGAATTAGTAGACGGTGTAGCGGGAGTAACAGCACGTGAAAACAACCAATCGCCAGGCACATTCTTTGACTCGAGACCGTGCGCAAAACATACGCCAGCTCACTGTCATTGAAATTTTATCCCTATCACCATTAGAAGAGATAACTGGCAGTGTGGTTATGGACCAAAGATTATTTACTCCTATTATTAAATATTTTCTGTAACACGAGCTGAGTCGTGCACACGGGATCCGTTGAACTCACCGTCACGTATAAACTTATTTGATAGC